GTGTGTGTGTGTGTGTGTGTGTGTGTGTTGTGTGCGAGTGTGTGTGTGTGTGTGTGAGAGTATGCGAGTGTGATGCGAGAGAGTATGCGAGTGTGAGAGTATGCGAGTGTGAGAGTATGCGAGTGTGAGAGTATGCGAGTGTATATGCGAGTGTGAGATGTATGCGAGTGAGTGTATGCGAGTGTGAGTGTATGTACATGTATACATATGTATGTATTGGATAGACAAAAGACTTTAAGTATAATTAGAAGAGTGTGCTCCAAGTACTAAAAACTGTCTGTGCATACACGAGTCCAATATAACAGTCCAGAAGAATCTAATATTTTCCAGCGTGTTTGATTGTAGTTACTGCACATTGAAAGGTTCTATTATGACATGCATAGTAGGGCACAATATAGTACAGTATAAGTATTATTGCAAGGTTGGAAGAGGACTTCATGAAATACAAAAAAAAAAAAATTAAGTAACCATACACTAGTCTGCAGCAGTTATTGAAGGTCACACCTGAGTAATGAGTTCCTTGTTATGTATATACTTTTGTTAGCAAGACAAAACTAGGACTGAAATCTGAGTGGTAGACACTACAGGTTAAAATGTGTTTATAACAAAAATAAAAAAATATGTAGATAACGATAAATAGGATTTTTAGCACATAGTGTTATACTTTACTGAAGACTTTTTCAAGTAAAGTTCTTCAGAAGCTCAAGGATTTAGGTTATGATATACCTATCATAAGTATTGTTAAGTTTACTATGGTTTTGATCAGTAGACTTTGAATTATTTTTAAGCTTTCTTACAAGGGAAGAGGGGACAAACTTACAAGACAGTCTGCAATAAGTCACAAATGATGTTTACCATTTTTCAATATACTGAAGAGTAATAAAGTTCTTCAGAAGCTCAAGGATTTAGGTTATGATACACTGATTATAAGTATTGATAAGTTTCCTATGGTTTTAATAAGTAGACCGATTTATTTTTTAAGACTTGTTACATGTGGAAATTTGATAAATTTGAGATACAGTTTGCAATAAGTCACAAGTAAAGAATTTTATGTTTGTTGTTTTTTCTCAGGCTTTATGGTAGTTATCTATATGGTTATTATTTTTAGTTCCAAAAATTAAAACAACTATTATTTCAACAGGAACCTGCACATACCAGTTCAGTATAAAGGAAGAGTCTCCTTTAGGATATATAAAATGCCTTTGAATATGAAACTGCTATTTCCAGTGCTATCTTGTCAGAAGATTCAGGTTATTCTATTCTGAAAATGTTTATTGGTTGTGGCAATAAGTGTAATTGTATCTAGTGAAGTAAAGACTTTATACACTACACTGGTTTACATTTCTCAACACTACTGAGGGTGAAAATGGTATATTGGTGATGCATAATTTTATATTTTCCCTATTCTCTACATTATTAGTCAAAAGGTTAAAGTAGAAGTGGCTCTACAATGATTATTTATTTAAAATTCATTATTAAAAATAACAAATGAAAAATATATTTACTCTTATATAAAAGATGTTTAGATCATCACTTAAAGTAAAATAGATTCTAATGGAAAACACCTGTGACTATTTTCATAATTAATATAACCAACAGTCCCTCACATACTGGGACAAATAGCCAAAAAATACTGCCTGCTAAGTAAGATCAGAAGAAAAGCTGTATAGCTAGGATGATACAGTTGGATGTAAAATAATGTACCTGAACAGAAGGTGGAGCAGGATGATGATTATTTTTATAAAAGAAATGGAAAAAAAGGAGAGGAGAGAAATGCAGGAAAGCACTAGCATGAAATTGCATACTGGCACAAAATAGGATGAGGTTTAGTTTCCTTGAAACTCTTAACTTCTAAATACATAATGTATTGTTCTAAAAAGCTAGATTTCAAATAACTATCATCCTTGCTTACACATACATACATACATACATACATAGATACATACATATAAAATTTGATTGAGGGTAGGGTACCTTTACACCTTTGGCAAAGCATTATAGGGAGGCAATATGTAAACAAAAGGCATCTGATAAATTGTTTACTTCTGATTGCTCTCACTCTATGCTCTAAGCTGAATGTTTAGGGTTGAGTAAAAATATAACAAAATAAAAGATTTTAACTTACTTTGTGGGTTATAGTTGAAGGGATAATTAAGAAAATTAGAAATCTAGATTTCAATCTTTTAACAATTTTAATGGAAGATGGATATATCTGTAAACATACTAGCTTATCTCCAATAATGGCTGATGCATGTGTTAAGTAAAAAATGCTTTGAACAAAGCCAAAATCTTTTACATTTCAAACATATTTTAGCAAGACAATGAGTTTGTATTTATATTGGATATATATAAAATGAAAATGATCTTTAAATAATTCCCAAGTTGAAATAGTATTTATGCCACAGTATATATTGAGTATGTATGGTAGATAAACAACATTATTAGCACCTTCATATCAATAACATCTATAAAAGTATACAAATAAATGATGAACTTAAATAACATTATTCACACAAAATATATATTTCTTATACTTAACAAACTGAGAGCATACTGTGAAACAGAGTATGGCTTCTAACCATATCTTTCACTCTGAACATATAAGCTTTGTTGATTCTTGTCAATGCACACATGAAAAAAACATCACAAAGACATTTAGAGTATTTAAAAAGCATCAATAGGATCACATTATGTTTAGAAAAATACAATACTTAGTCAAAGGGAAACTCACTAGAGAATTATCTTTATGAAAAAGACAAGTTATTTACATAGAGAGTCAACAAATATATTAACACATGGGTGCTAGACAACAAGATGGTATATATAACCAGAGAGCACAGCTTTCTGACCAAAATATAATCAACTGACAATTTATATAAATTATGGAATTAACCTCCAGAAAAAGAACCTTACAAAAACTTTCTTTAAAAAGAATGAAATTTATCATGAAGAGTAGATTAATCTGTATCTTTTATCATTACTTCTTAGAGCTCATCATGGCGCTTCAGACGATGACATCGGCAATCTCCAAAGCGTTTCTCATTTTCTGGTGTGGGAATGTGTTCCATGCCTTCTCTGATGTTCACTTTTGATTTAAGTCTTTTGCTCCATTCCTGAAAAAACAAAGGAAAATTCAGCACATAAAGCTATGTATTAAAGATTTCAAACATAGGACCTTCTTCATCAATTTGTAATATCTGTTTATAGGAAAGGTAAAATCTATAAACTAGGGGGAAAGTATATATAAAAAAAAGTTTAAAATCAACACAAAAGTCCATACCTATATAAATATGAATTGTATGAATATCTTATTATAAAATATAATATTTAGTTTTTGATTGGTATATTACAGTGAAGTGGGAGAAATCAGGGGTGAAGTAAAATATATCTATCCAATATATCTATTGTAATTTCTACTTTTTATTGGGTAAAATTTGTGAAACAGGATGAAGTAGGAGAATATTATTCATGTTATTCAATCAGCAGTAGCATGGAATTTCATAAACATGCAGAAATATATGTACAGACTTAAAACATTTTGTGATGAAAGTAATGGCCATCTGTTTAAAAACTGATAAGGAATGCTAGCTGGGTTTGGAGAAAAGAATCAGAAAAAAGTCAGCCTATGTATTAATTACCATGAAACTGTTTTCCATTGCTTTAATTTAATCATACTGTTATAGTTCCTTGATAAATAAAAAATAAACACTGAAACATGATAAATATATTTCTAGGCCTATTTCTTATATCCCAACATTATTAATAATTTTCAATAAAAATACATATTATTTTTTGCAACTGAAATAGTGCCATGTGTATGAAATAGTTCTGTACTATACAAGGCCTAGGCATCATAATATGGTCTGATTTAGTAAATAGTTAGCAATTTAGTATCCCTATCTCCATTACCTGTTGAGGAACACAGCCTCTTTCACTAACTTGCAACTAACTTAACCACATGCCTACAGGGAGAGCACATGCATACATGCCATGTCAGTAACAATATAGCAATTATAATTTTTATAACAAAAATAACAGTATCAATATTGATAGCAATCTAATTGACTCCTTTGTGGCTAAGCATTGCCAGAGCCATCTATAAGCAGAAACATTTAACAAAGCAATACCAAAGTGAACACAACATTTTCCCAGTGGCATCGAATTAAATAAAATCCTAAAATGACCCTCTTATATTTCAACCCATTAACTGCATGTATGCTTATTGGCATACACAGGCATACACTCCCATCCACTTGCAGTTGGCTCTTTCTGTTCTTCAAGAACAATACTAGGCATCTAATAGTTTATATCTTTCATCCTGAATGCTTGTATCTAATAATATATTTAATAACTGTAGAAGGAAAGAGAGAGAGGGAGAGAAGGAAAGAGAGAGAAGGAGAGAAGGAAAGAGAGAGAAGGAGAGAGAGGAAAGGAAAAGAGAAGGAGAGAAGGAAAGAGAGAGAAGGAGAGAAGGAGAGAAGGAAAGAGAGAAAAGGAGAGAAGGAAAGAGAGAGAAGGAGAGAAGGAAAGAAGGAAAGCGAGAGGAGAGAAGGAAAGAGAGAGGAGAGAAGGAAAGAGAGAAAAGGAGAAAAGGAAAGAGAGAAAAGGAGAAAAGGAAAGAGAGAAAAGGAGAAAAGGAAAGAGAGAAAAGGAGAAAAGGAAAGAGAAAAGGAGAGAAGGAGAGAAAAAGGAGAGAAGGAGAGAGGAAAGAAGAGAGAAAGAGAAGGAAGAGAGGAGAAGGAGAGAAGGAAAAGAGAAGGAGAGAAGAAAGAGATAGGAGAGAGGAAAGAGAGAAAAGGGAGAAAAGGAAAAGAGAGAAAAGGAGAAAGGAGAGAAGGAGAGAGAGAAAGAGAGAGAAAGGAGAGAAAGAGAAGGAGATGGAAAGAGAGAGATGGAAAGAGAGAGAAGGAGAGAAGGAGAGATGGAGAAAGAGAGAGACGGAGAGATGGAGAAAGAGAGAGAAGGAGAAATGGAGAAAGAGACAGAAGGAGAGATGGAGA